TGCTGGGGCTGGGGTTGTGGCTCGGCAGTAGAGCTAGAGCGCTCACCTAGCACGTGCAAGGCGCTGGGATAGATCCTCAGCACTACATAAAACTAAATAAATAAAATAAAGATATTGTRTCCAACTACAACTAAGAAAAAATTATTATTGCTAATAGTGGATATTCTTGTCACAGAAAAGTTAAAATCATGTCTAAGGAAAACTCTAGTCAATCTTTATTAAAYTTAAAGTCATCCTTAATCTGAGATTAGATTAACTGCATCGAAGGTTTATCATGGATAAAGTGCATAAAGATCTTAGGAGATGTACATTTATTCATCAGGGGGCAACATCTGATTACCACTAATTGGTAATTTTAAAAGGAAAGGAGCTGGACTTAAGCTCTAGACTCTAGTTGGGAGAAGGAGGCCACAGTGAAGCTGGGTGAGTTAGTTTCAGATTTCTCCACTTCATTTCCTTGAGAGCAGTTTCTGGCATGGTGACAGCTGGAGTCTCTCCAGGAAGACTGTAAGGGTGAGTAGCATTGCAGATCCCCTTAGTGAGGAGAGTAGTAGAGAACATTCACAAAACTTAGCACAGCAGGTGTTTTGTATGGATGACTTTGAGTCCAACAGTGATGAGTCAGGTACCTGTGGAAATACTTGGGTTGTGGACTTTAATGCTGATTTGGTAATGAGGCTAGAATTCTCACTGAAAGAAGGTCAGAAGGGATTATCTTGACAAACCTTCCTCATTCCAGCAAAGTTCCTGGTGGACAGGAGATCAATTACCTGCCTTTCATACTATTCTTATTTATACTGTTGTTGCAGAAAGCTACAAGCATGTATATGGGAACATTTTCTGTTTTATTATGATTTTAAGAATCAAGGTTTTGCCTTCCACATTGTCACCTCATTTGATATATGTCATAGCTTTTGATACATAATAAACCACTCTAAAACTTAGTGACTTAAAACATTTATTGAGCTCATGATTCTGGAGGTTGGAAATATAGGCTGAATATAGCTGGGCAATTTGCTTTCTCTTGAGCCTGTGGTCAACTTTGGATTAGTTAGCAGGTTTTTCTGGGAGTTGGCTAGTTATTGGCCAGGCCTCAGTTCTTCTCTACATGGTATCTTTTCTTCAGGAAGCTCAGGCTTTTTCTCATGGGAGGTCTGAGAAAGAGCAGAAGCAAWAAAAGCCTCTTGAGGCTTTACTTGGAATGGACTGTTACTTGTGTTGCATTCTGTTGGCCAAAAGAAGTTACTAGACCAGCTTATTCAAGGAGGTAGGGATGTAGATTCTTGATTTAAGCTTCTATGGAACCATGTTGGAAAGATATAGACACAGAGATGCATGGAGAATTAGGGACAAATTTGCCATCAGTCTAACACAATAGGGTAAATGAAAGACTCAAAGATGTTCTGGGAACATGTTCCTCCCTAGTCTGTGTGGATTTTAGTTTTGCTATTATGATACTGAATTTCCTTTTAATCTTAGCCTGTGTTTTTGTATCTTGTATTCTTTTTCTCTTTATAATATTATCTTGGTTTTGGTTGCTTGTGTATCATTATCTGAATCTGTGCCAGTGCAAATTTTCTCAAACATTATTTTGGTTCCTTATTAAATTATATTCAGAGACATTTCCTCTGCATCTTCAGGATATAATTTCTCCTTCATGTATAACAGTATTTTTCCTCATAGAGCCCACCTTGGATTTTTGTTTTTCTTTGGGTGATGTTGGTATTTGCCAACAGTGTGTGGATGCTTCTCACTGTCCACTGAGATACAAATGTCTTCTCTAATCTGTGTTTGATAGGTTGTGATACTGTTCCCAGTAACTGGCAGGTAGTGATCAAATATGACTCTGCTGAACTAAACTAGGATCAAATGCTGCCTTACCACTATGTCTGATTCGGGGGCACTTTTAAAAAGGTAAAATATTTCTTAACACACACTACTTACARGATTGTTCCTATATTTTCCCCTCTCTGCAGAGATTTTCATGTGAACATTGAAACTTCTAGGATGCATTGAACCATTTTTAGTGCTTCTCCACCTCTGTCATGTTGTTTACTGGGAATTGTATTTAAATAGAAGTATAAAGAGGTGTGCCATGAGGAGGCTGGAATGAGTTCCACAACTTGGCTACATAGTAAACTAATCTATTTACTATATGGAAGGCTCCCAAACAGCAGGCAGAAAAAAGGAGTGAACTAAAGTCTCTTTCAGCAGCAGAATTATTATGTTTCTTTGAGTAAAGCAATAATTTGCATGGTATGTAGCAATTAGAAAACTAGGCCAACTATTAACTTGATTTTAGACCTGGCTTTTCAGATTTTCAGTTAGTGAAACTATCAGGTTTCTCATTAAAGKTTAACTTTATTTTAGTAGGGTATATTACCATGTTTTTCTGTGCCTTTGTAAATTGTGAGAAGATGGGAGGGGCTATACTGAGGGATTCTAAATGAGATGCCTTCCTAAACTGAGTCCAAAGTATATTCAACTAATGCATTTTCCATTGTTCTTCATCAAAAAGATGTAATGGAGATATAGCAATAAAAGTGATAACTRTAAATAGTTTTTGAAAGACTAAGATTTGCTGCTTTGTTGGCATATATTGTTACAATGTGAGTARATGTACCATTTTATTATAATTTTTGTAATTATATATATTTCTTAGTCCTCCATTATTACTTTCAGAGTTTGCTCTTGGAAACTTAGCTGTAGCACTTTGCTTTTTTCTGTGGGTCTCTCATGGACATCAGTGGTGTGGATGAGACACATGACTATCAAGGAGATTGAAGGACCAGGAAGAGTGYGTCCACAATTCTCCAAACCAGTTTTGGAATAAAAGGTCAGAGTAGCTGACAGAGCTTATTCTTGGGTCTTCAGAGAAATGACTACTTCCAATAATGTTGTTTTTCTTAGTCATCTTATTTCTGGCTGCTAAGTTTAAGATCKAGTGGTAAAATTACTAGGGAATCCATCTCATTGGGAAGTAATAAGAGTTTCTATAACTGCAGAAGTACAATTTGCTGTTAACTACTTGATTATTACTTCTGTAATCTCATGATAGCTTAAATGGTGTTCATTTTTCTTTGAACATGACTTGTTTTAAACACCTCCTGAACTCTTAGCACTGAAACTCTTTATTTTGGTTTATGAAACAATTGTCTATGGCCTGTTCTTCTCAGTTAAGAGTTTACCTTTAATGCCAAATTTTGAGCATATTTATTTTAATTTTTCTATTGTAGTAGTAGTGTGTGTGTGTGTGTGTGTGTGTGTGTGCGCGTGCGTGCGTGTGTGTGTTTTCAAAAGTCTTTTAAATCAGAACCTCCTAGTTAGGGGAAATAAGAACTTTGTCTTCCTACCTAAGTCAGTGCTCTTAAGCTGGGTTCCCAGGGAACAACTGCAGGCTGTTGTATAAAGATGGGCTTCCACTAATAATGTTTAGTGATTTAGTGTTCTAGATTTTCTACTGAAATTAAGGTTTGCCACAGTGTTACGAAAAAAGCACGGTGACTTCCAGGCACTCTGCTATTTGAATGGTTTGAGAACTGCTGAATTTATTATTTTTTAAGATATCAGAGGGTATGAAATGGACATTATGTATGTGTATGATTGCGTGAATGGTGCAACCTTGCATCATGTACAACCAGATAAATGAAAAGTTGTGCTCTGTTTTGTGTACAATGAGTCAAAATGCATTCTGCTGTAATGTGTAACTAAATAGAACAACAAACAAAAAAGAGCAGAGGGTAAGAACTTTTATCATCATCCTTAACACATATGACCATAAGCCATCACGGACTTTTGAATGGAAAGTAACATGAGGAAAATTGGACTTAATGGATAATATTTTGGGGGAGTTTTCTGAAAGAAGTGGTAGAAGGTGAGAACAGGCAAAGGAATGAAGATAGAATATAACTATTGTAAACTATGTGTCAATTCAGTTCATATTAAGCATTTGATTAAAAACTCCTAAAACTCTAATATTATAATCCAAATTAAGATATTAAGGTGTTATTGGCTCCCTTGTTTAAGAAGTTAATTTTGAATTGATGAAAGTTGATTCTCATAACTATTATAATCTTGACCAATAATTCAATAAGTAGACTCATTAAGAGATTTTTGTTACAAGTCTCCAATTATAGGGCCATAATTATACTGTTGAAAAGTCAACTCAGTGGAGAAGACTGGTCCTTGCTGGGCAAAAAAACATAGAACACACCTGTCTCGGTATTRTGAGGTGGGGAATGGAGAAGGGCATGTAAAATGAACTCAGATGAATTTTGACCTTAGGATGTTTTGCATAGAGATAAACAATAAAGGCAACTAGAATAGTAGGTAGCAGTAAAAGTCGATAGTTATGGATCAGTTACTATGAGAATTCAAAGAAAAATCTGGAGGAGTTGGCATTACTTGAAATAGTGAGTTTTGAAAGGGCATAACATTCTACATCAAGGGAGAAACATGATCAAAGACACTGGCTTCCAGACAAGTGATTGTTGAATATCTGAAGGAATGACTGAAGTTGGGTAGCATTTGTCTTGCACTGATTTATTCAGTATGACACACAAGTTCCTTTTGTGTGGCAGGCCCTGTGGTAGGTCAGTGCTGGGAATTTAACAAGGTGACCCTCATGGAACTATAGTCTAGGAGAAACAGATAAAACTGAAAAACTAATGAATATCTCAACTCAAAAGTGAGAAGGACTATAAGACTACTGAATAACTTTGGTGAGGAGAGTTGGTGAATTGGTTAATCAAGGAAAGCCCCATTGAGGAACTAGAATATAAGCTAAAACGGATCTTTGTTAGGAGCCAGTTTACCCTTTGGAATATTTACTTTGTTTGAAGTCTTTACCATTGTTGCTTTCCCAATGGATTTAATTTGATTAAACTTACTTCCCTTTAAAASATGGACAGTGAAATTTCTCTTTTCCATTAGTATTAGCTTTATCCATTGATGAATTATTTGCCTGTTGTTAAATTGACAATGTTATCCTTCTTTTGCAGAAACCGAAGCTGAAAGACTGGCATCCTCCTGGGGGTTTTATTCTGGGATTATGGGCACTCATTATCATGGTTTTCTTCAAAACTTACGGAATCAAGCATATGAAATTCATTTTTTAAACTGAAGGACATATGAAGAAGAACATATTGAAAATTTCAACCTTGGATACAAATTTGTTATTATGTGTTTTTTAAAATACATTACTCTTGTGTAAATTGGAAAAAAGTATAAGAAAACTAAATGTAAATGAACTATTGACTTCATAACTTAAAAAATATTTGTAATGCAATCGCTTATTGGCCATAAATATATTTCATTTTTTTCACTTTGTGTATCATAGAAACAAATGGGACAAAGAGATTAGAGTAGATTGATTCTTTTTGAAAATAATAGTTTCCTGTAATCTTATCCTCTTTTCTTTTGGAAAAGAAAAAATTGTGGGACATTAAATTCTCAGTAAATGATGTAACTTCTGTTAATAATTTTGTGTATGTTCTACCAATTATGCATATATCTTTCCCAAAGTAGAGTTCATATAAAATACTCCATTTTATAACTTTTCATTTTATAACATATTATCTACCTTTTCATTTTCCTTGGATATTCTTCAAKAATACATTGTGAATGACTGCATAATATCCCTTGTATGAGTTTATAACAATTTATTTAACAGTCTTCTGTTATTGGACCACTTACCTTAGGTAGTTTCCAGAGCTTTCCTTTGGTTTATTCTTAAATGTATTATTATTTTTTTATTAATTTATTTATTTTAATTAGGTATATATGACAGCAGAATGCATTTTGATTCATTGTACACAATTGCAGCAYAACTTTGAATTTCTCTGGTTGTACACAATRTAGCGTCACACCATATGTGCAGTCATACTGTACCAAGGGTAATGATGTCCATCTCATTCCACCATCTTTCATAACCCCCTCYGCCCCACCGGCACCCTGTATTATTATTTTGCTATCAGTTACTCCAGAAATTCTGCAGGTTTAATTATAAATAAAAATGAAAAATCAGCTCCTTTATCTGTAATACTGACAATCTTAAGGATTTTTTTGTTGTCAGTAGTTGATCTGAGAAATTTTCAACCTTTGTAAATCACATACTGACTTCCCAAATAAATATACATTATTGTTTTTCATTTCTAAGCATATTGTGATTCTCTAGACTTGATCACCTCCTCTTCAAGTTTCTCCTTGAAAGAGAAGGTCAACAAGGACTTTATTTCATTCAGGTTAAGCTAAGTCTTGCCCACTGGCTAGATCTACCCTTTCCCTCAGGACAGTACTATAAAGTAGATGACTTTCATGGAAACATACACACTATGGTCCTTCTTATCTGACAGATATATCACCCCTCTCCTGGCCTTTGATAAGATGCAAGAGCTCTTGTCTCTATCACTGATTTTTAGCCTACCAGCCATCTTCACGTTTTTCTTTATGACTGGAAATAGTATTGAGATTGTGCTTTGTGATTAATGCCAGACACTGATTTTTCTTTTGAAACTTTTGTATATGGGGTGGAGGGGAATGACTGAAAATTCAGTGTTCATGTCCCAGGGAAACTTTTATGTGTTTTATCTGTTTTYGTTCAAGAATTTATGTGTTAATCTTTTTTTCATTGCAAAGATCAGTTTTATAGTTACAAGTAAGATCAAAAAGATAAATTTCTTTCATAATAAAACCTCTTAATATTCCTAAGAATTTGTTTACCTTTTAACAGTTAAATATTGTACTTTAGTTACATGCAGAATTGTTATATTTTCACAGGCAAAGGATAGTTAGGACATATAATTTTGAGATTTTTGCTGGCTGAGTTTATTTTAATTGATTTTTTTATTGGTACATTATATAAATGAAGAAGAAAAAATACATCTAATTTATATAAAGAAGGATCTTTTTGTACCTAGAAAGGAGGAAAAACAAACTTAAATCAGAATAACCTCATCTTAGTGGTGCAAGACAAAGTTTGAGCATATCACCCTCCAGACATACACACAAGGTCATAGGCACCATGGTGGGGTGGAGCTAGTTAGTGTGGTAAAGGAATTATGATTGTTCTTGAGCCAAAGTAATTTAGCCTGAATATAATGAAACATACCCTAATGGTAAAGGCTGCTRGAAAGTAAAGATTCCTCTTCAGAGGCTATAGAAGGTGCCCTTCTTAGTTAAAACCAAACTGGGAAAAGTAATCCTGGATATAATATACAGGATTAATTTTGCCTAGACAGAGTTTCAAAGGGCAATTAAATTTTTCTCTCTCACTATTGAATCTTCAGAATATAGTTAAAGGAAAAAGCTTAAAATATGTTAAAGTTTAGCTCATAACTATAATATTTTTTACATAAAGTATATTCTGCTTTTAATAATAAGCAAATCCTGTGCATATGTAAGTGAGTATACTTAGGAAATATTTTAAGTGCAATTAAATGGCTTAGAGTTTAAATGATAATATAAAAGCACAYCCTTATATGTATTTTCCTTGAGCCACAAAGAGCTGAACAACAAAGAAGTGTTTTGTTTTTTTCCCCCCTTTTCTCATAGTGTTGTTGTGGTGAGGATCAAATGAGATGATGTTATGACTAAAGATTTTGGGAATTGTAAATATGTGGTGGTATTCTTATTTCTGCTTAGGAAGATATTAAGGCGGAGTTAATGGTGACAGTGCCCCCCTGTTCTGTTCTACTTGTTTATCTTTTAAAGCTATTCAATGTGATTCTTGTTCTCCTTGCTATTCTCTTTCTCCTCCCCCACCATGTCCTTCAGGGAGAAAAGAAATATAGATAAATAGATCCCAGCAGACATGTCCTGACATTTCAGGGAGGGCCAGGGTATAATGATGCCATCCTGCAAAGGCAGCCTGTGTGAAAAAAAGAAACCAAATGATGTGAATTTTAAAATTACAAAAGATATTTATATGCAGCTTATGAAAGGAAAGTGTAGTTTGAATGCAAAGCTGATTAAATTGGATCAAAAAATTGGAATTAAATACAAATATAATGCATGCATTTATGGTTTCAATTTTTATATTTTCTCAGCTAGTTGAAAGTGATGACTCCCACAGCAAGCATAACTCAGTTTGCTTCTGCTTACTGAGTATTTTCTACTATGGTATATGTTGATAACTTTTCTTCCATTATGTATGTTGTATAGCAGAGTTACAGTTACTGTGGGAATTATCATTTGAAACTTTGACTCATGTGTTTCTGGAATCTTTACAATGAATGTTGCATTAACATAGAACCTTTTTCAGTTGATTCTATCAAAATTAAGCCCATCTGTAGTAGATTGTTTGTACATGTGAAAGAAATATTTTATAAATATACCACAAGGTATGACTATAAAATAATGAGATGTATCCATTTTTTCTTTATGGTATCCAGCCTCATTACTTTATTGTTACGATTCAACCCAAAGGCATTTACCATGAAGAAAGGGGTGTCAGGATTGCTGTTCTGTTGTTACCTGCCCTATTTCATATGTACCTGCTGCTGAAATAGAAAAGTCTTTCAATTCATGGACAATACACCTTGATAGTGGTAACCAGGCTTTTTTTTTTTTTTTTTTTTTTTACTTTTGGTACAAAAAATTTACTGTTTTGGAAATGTGCTTTAAAATGTACATTTTGGTTTAACTGTGTGGACTGTTAAAATTGGTATCAGTGAGGGTGTAACCAAGAAACTGGTTATTAAAAATTCATTTATTCCAAACACGGAAGTGTGGTGCTGTCTTTCTTGTTTCACCTTTGCTGCTCACATTCTCAGAGACTTGTGAGGACTTTCAGCTTTGCCTCCGGTATACCAGTCCTGGGGAGTCAGTCCACATTYACTTTTTCCTCTTCTGAGTGTGGAAGGGCCAGTCTGACTGCTAGGATTTTACAGACAACACCATAAGCAAGGGAGGACACCTTCTTAAGGGTTATTAAATAAAGCATACATGTGAGGCATGCCATACATGGCCTGCCTAGCTTATAGAAAAGAGTCAGTGTTTTGTTTTTTGCTGAGCGGGACTCTACCTATTTTGCTTCTAACATCCACTCAGTACAGGGGCTGGATGCTCCTAAAGAACATTGCCTTGCTACTCTGGGACAGTCCTTTTCTCTTTTCAGCAGGTGTTTTTGATAACAGTTTCTTTCCACATCCTTTTAACACTATCCAACAATTTCAATCCACTGACTTTTTTGCCTCTCTTTATTTGGAGGGTTTGCGCCTACCCCTCCCCCCGATTTTAGGTAGCAGAGCTTTTCCTCAACCTTCCCTGAAYCTTAGTTTTCTAGTGTCTTCTCTCTCCATGGCCTGTCCACTCTGTTGTAAACACACCTTTCATGTGATTTAATGGACGATCTGTCTTCATTCCAGGTCCCAGATGCTTGGATAATTCAGGACCTCAAGACAGTGGATGCTGCATTTCCCCCACCCCATGTTAGGACTTTTTTTARTTTCAAATGATGAAAATGCAAGTAGAACTAATTTAGACAAAGAGAAGAATTATCTGGAGTGATGTTAAGATATATTGTATAATCTTGGTAGTGAGGGGGTTTCTRTTCTAAGTCACACTGGGGACTGGAATTTCACCTGATTCTCTTCTCCCAGTGAACTCCCTTTTCCCTTCCTGAAAACAGGCTTTCTCACATGGCTGCTAACGGCAGAGCTTTATTTCCCTTGCTTTTATTACAAGGCAGGAAAATTAGTCTTCCTTTCATTTCAGTTCTAAAAGTCTCTTGGAAGGACTGAGTAACCTTATATCTATAAGGATTTCACCTGGCCAGGACCAGGGTCCTATATGCACAAAAGAGCCTCTGGTGGGATATTATTTGTTGGGGCTCCTTCTGGYGAAGGGAGAGAGAACAGGAGATAGGCAGTCACTCTTGTTTCTACTAACTTGCTATTTATTCAGTGGATGTCTCTGCCCATCACAGGAGCTATAGCATTAACCTAGAACTCCCAGAAGTGCAGAATGTCAGCTTCAACCTCAGACCTACCCAACCAGAATCTGCATTTTCATGAGATTCCCAGGTAATTTTCATGCACTTGAAAGTAGTAGCACTGAGCTACAACACCTTCCTAAACAGCTCAATTTTATCTTCAAGGAGTTTGTAAGATTACCAATATTCATTTGTAAAACAAACAGCCATGAGTAGCATATTTTATAGTTTTATTGACTCTTTAGAATTATCACTGACTTCTATTCAAACATTTTAAGCCTCTGCGCTACTGTCATTGTCTCTTTTTCCTYCCCTTTTTCAAAATGTAATAAATGCTTAAAACAGGAGTCTAATTAGCATTTACATGTTTGGGATATCTGCAGACTCTTGACACTCCTCTCATGAAAGTGTCTGARCTTCCATCCCCTTGAATATGACTGGCCTTATGACTTAATCCTGATACATAGAATGTGCCAGAATAATTCTG